TGCGGGACGCATGCGGACGGCAGCCTGGGGCCTTCGGTGGAGCTCCCTATGGGGCCACGAAACGTGTGAGGGGTGTGCCGAAATGGGTGTGCGGGACGCATGCGGACGGCAGCACTGGGGCCTTCGGTGGAGCTCCCTGTGGGGCCACGAAACGTGTGAGGGGTGTGCCGAAATGGGTGTGCGGGACGCATGCGGACGGCAGCCATGGGCCTTCGGTGGAGCTCCCTGTGGGGCCACGAAACGTGTGAGGGGTGTGCCGAAATGGGTGTGCGGGACGCATGCGGACGGCAGCACTGGGGCCTTCGGTGGAGCTCCCTGTGGGGCCACGAAACGTGTGAGGGGTGTGCCGACATGGGTGTGCGGGACGCACGCGGACGGCAGCCATGGGGCCTTCGGTGGAGCTCCCTATGGGGCCACGAAACGTGTGAGGGGTGTGCCGAAATGGGTGTGCGGGGCGCATGCGGACGGCAGCACTGGGGCCTTCCGGTGGAGCTCCATGTGGGGCCACGAAACGTGTGAGGGGTGTGCCGAAATGGGTGTGCGGGACGCATGCGGACGGCAGCCATGGGGCCTTCGGTGGAGCTCCCTATGGGGCCACGAAACGTGTGAGGGGTGTGCCGAAATGGGTGTGCGGGACGCATGCGGACGGCAGCGGAGGAGGAGGAGAGGAGGAGGAGGACAGGAGGTGGGACGCGGGCCGTCCTCTCTTCAAAACGAGGACCCAACACCACAGGATGGTTGGGAAAAAAAATCCGGGCGAAGGACCCAACCATATGCAATTGTGAATACCGCAATTGTGAATATCTTCTTCGGTGGCGCTCCCTATGTGGCCACGAAACGTGTGAGGGGTGTGCCGACATGGGTGCGCGGGACGCGTGCGGGCACACCCACTGGGACCTTCGGTGGAGCTCCCTATGGGGCCACGGAACGTGTGAGGGGTGTGCCGAAATGGGTGTGCGGGACGCATGCGGGCACACCCACTGGAACCTTCGGTGGAGCCCCCCTACGGGGGGCCACGAAACGTGCGAGGGGTGTGCCGAAATGGGTGTGCGGGACGCATGCGGGCACACCCGCTGGGGCCTTCGGCGGAGCTCCCTATGTGACCACGAAACGTGTGAGGGGTCACGAAACGCGTGAGGGGTGTGCCGAAATGGGTATGCGGGACGCATGCGGGCACACCCACTGGGACCTTCGGTGGAGCTCCCTGTGGGGCCACGAAGCGTGTGAGGGGTGTGCCGAAATGGGTGTGCGGGACGCATGCGGGCACACCCACTGGGACCTTCGGTGGACAACCCACTGGGGCCTTCGGTGGAGCTCCCTATGGGACCACGAAAACGTGTGGGCCACGAAACGTGTGAGGGGTGTGCCGAAATGGGTGCGCGGGACGCATGCGGACGGCAGCCATGGGGCCTTCGGTGGAGCTCCCTATGGGGCCACGAAGCGTGTGAGGGGTGTGCCGAAATGGGTGTGCGGGACGCATGCGGGCACACCCACTGGGACCTTCGGTGGAGCCCCCCTGCGGGGGGCCACGAAACGTGCGAGGGGTGTGCCGAAATGGGTGTGCGGGACGCATGCGGGCACGCCCACTGGGGCCTTCGGCGGAGCTCCCTATGTGACCACGAAACGTGTGAGGGGTCACGAAACGCGTGAGGGGTGTGCCGAAATGGGTGTGCGGGACGCGTGCGGGCACACCCATTGGGACCTTCGGTGGAGCTCCCTATGGGGCCACGAAGCGTGTGAGGGGTGTGCCGAAATGGGTGTGCGGGACGCATGCGGGCACACCCACTGGGACCTTCGGTGGGGCCCCCCTACGGGGGGCCACGAAGCGTGACCTCGCCGCGGGGGCAGAGCAGATTTGCTTCTGATTTTTTGGGTTTTTCGGTTTTCACATTGCATTTTGGGCGCGCGCCTGGTGTCCAGAAGGATCGCTGGGGGCGACCAGAACAACGCCCGGAAGAGCGCCTGGGAGCGCGCTGGCGCGAGCACCCAGGCGAGCCCAGAAGAGTGCCGAGAACAGCGCCCAGGAAAGCGCCATCAAGAGTGCCCAGAATATGGCCCGGACGCGAATCTGGAAGAGCGCCCGAAAGAGCGCCCGGAAGTGCGCCCAGAAACAACCGATTTTGCGACCGATTTCGCGCCCGATTTCGCGTCCGACTTTTTGTGTGTCGATTCAATATTAAAATAAATAACTTGATTTAAAATCGGACAGAATTCGGATGCAAATCGGACGCAAAATCGGACGCAAATCGGACGCAAAATCGGACGCAAAATCGGGAACAAAATCGGGCGCTGATGGTGTCGACCATTTCTGGGCGGATGAGGCAGCGTATCACGGTGCATCATGGCGAGGTCTGGTAGGGTGTGCATTGTGGACCCACGCGCGCAATTCAGCGTTGGAGTTTTAGCGATGTGGCGAACGACAAACTGCGATATCGCGCTGTGTCCAGGTCGGGCCAAATCGACAGAAAAATCAGATCGCCGCTTCTGCGGCTGTTTTTCATGTGACGAAACGTGCGAGGGGTGTGCCGAAATGGGTGTGCGGGACGCATGCGGGCACACCCACTGGGGCCTTCGGCGGAGCTCCCTATGGGACCACGAAGCGTGTGAGGGGTCACGAAAAGCGTGAGGGGTGTGCCGAAATGGGTGCGCGGGACGCATGCGGGCACACCCACTGGGACCTTCGGTGGAGCTCCCTATGGGGCCACGAAACGTGTGAGGGGTGTGCCGAAATGGGTGTGCGGGACGCATGCGGGCACACCCACTGGAACCTTCGGTGGAGCCCCCCTACGGGGGGCCACGAAATGTGCGAGGGGTGTGCCGAAATGGGTGTGCGGGACGCATGCGGGCACACCCACTGGGGCCTTCGGCGGAGCTCCCTTATGGGACCACGAAGCGTGTGAGGGGTCACGAAACGCGTGAGGGGTGTGCCGACATGGGTGCGCGGGACGCATGCGGGTACGCCCACTGGGACCTTCGGTGGAGCTCCCTATGGGGCCACGAAGCGTGTGAGGGGTGGGCCGAAAAATTGGTGTGAGGAAGCATGCGGGCGGCGCACCGGGCCTTCGGCGGTACGCTCCATATGGGGCACGAAGCGTTGAAAACGCATGCCGAAAGGGTGTCGAATGCATGGCGGGCAAACCCACTGGGACCTTCGGCGGAGCTCCCTTAGGGGCCACGAAGCGCGTGGTGAGGGGTTGTGCCGAAATGGCGTGGGGGGCCGCAGGAAGGCGGCCAGCACTGGGCCTTCTTTCTTTTTTTTTTTTTTTTTTTTTTTTTTTTTTTTTTTTTTTTTTTTTTAGGTGGGGGGGGAAGCTACTATGGGGCCACGAAGCGTGTGAGGGGTGTGCCGAATTGTGTGTGGGTGACGCATGCAGGCGGCAGCACTGGGGCCTTCGGCGGAGCTCCTATGGGGCCACGAAACGTGGCCGAATTGGATGTGGGTGACGCATGCGGGCGGCGGCACTGGGGCCTGGGCGGAGCGTGTTCCCTATGGCCACGAAACGCGTGAGGGGTGTGCCGAAATGGGTGTGCGGAGACGCATGGGGCACACCCTGTGCGTTGCAGCATGTGAGGCGTAATATTGGGGCACAGAAAGGGTACGGGGTGTGCCGAAATAGGTGGCGGGACGCATGCGGGCGGCAGCACTGGGGCCTTCGGCGGAGCTCCTTATGGGGCCACCAGACGTGTGAGGGGTGTGCCGAATTGGGCGTGCGTGACGCATGCGGGCGGCAGCAGTGGGGCCTTCGGCGGAGCTCCCTATGGGGCCACGAAGCGTGTGAGGGGTGTGCCGAATTGGGCGTGCGTGACGCATGCGGGCGGCAGCACTGGGGCCTTCGGCGGAGCTCCCTATGGGGCCACGAAGCGTGTGAGGGGTGTGCCGAAATGGGCGTGCGGGACGCAGGCAGGCGGCAGCACTGGGGCCTTCGGTGGAGCTCCCTATGGGGCCACGAAGCGTGTGAGGGGTGTGCCGAAATAGGTGTGCGGGACGCATGCGGGCGGCAGCACTGGGGCCTTCGGCGGAGCTCCTTATGGGGCCACCAGACGTGTGAGGGGTGTGCCGAGATGGGTGTGGGTGACGCATGCGGGCGGGAGCACTGGGGCCTTCGGCGGAGCTCCCTATGGGGCCACGAAGCGTGTGAGGGTGTGGCCGACTTGGGCGTGCGGGACGCATCGCGGGCGGCAGCACTGGGGCCTTCGGCGGGAGCTTCCCTATGCGGCCAGAAAGCGCGTGAGGGGTTGCCGAATTCGGTGTGCGGGACGCATGGCGGGGCGCACCCACTGGGGACCCTTCGGCGGAGCTCCCTTATGGGGCACGAAGCGTGTGAGGGGTGTGCGAAATGGGTGTGGGTGACGCATGCGGGCGGCAGCACTTGCCTTCGGCGGAACTGTGGGCCACGGAACGGGGAGGGTGTGCCGAATTGGGTGTGGGTTAAACGCAGTGCGGGGCGGCAGCACTGGGGCCTTCGGCGGAGCTCTATGCCCCCCACGAAAACGGTGGAGGGTCGTGCGAATTGGGTGCGGGCGGCAGCACTGGGGCCTTCGGCGGAATCTCCTATAGTGCCACGAAGCGTGGGAGGGGTGTGCCAATTCGGTGTGCGTGGCGGCTGCGGGCGGCAGCACTGGGGCCTTCGGCGGAGCTCCTTTGGGGCCACGAAGCGTGTGAGGGGTGTGCCGGATTGGGTGTGGGTGACGCATGCGGGCGGCAGCACTGGGGCCTTCGGCGGAGC